GAGGTGATGCTCTGGGGATGTCACTGCAAGTGACCCAAAGTGGTTGAACGAGTTTCAGTCTTGGGGACACCCTGAAGCCTGTTCAGGCTGAAGGCTCGGGGCTTCTGATCTGGGGAGTCCCCATCGATTCCTCGTTCGACAGGATTCATCGTTCTTTCACTGAGTACATTGCTATAGAGGCCATCCCCGTTCTGGGCATTAGGAACGCCAGGGGCAGACCCTCGAGAACAAGAAGCTCTGTAGGAGGGAACAGACAGAAGCAAGAACGCAAGTGCATGCTACAGATTTATTTCAGATGGGAATAATCATGCTTCCATATAATTATAATCCCAGAGAGAGATGACTTCTGTGAAGAAGATAAGGCTGTAGAAGCACAGATGCTGCCCCTCCTCCACTTTCTCTACCCTTCTAGAACTCTCGCCAGACAGATTCCAGGGTCCTGTACCTGTCCTTAAGTCTCTCGACTTTCATGGGCTTCCGTGTCAATAGAACATTTTATTTTTATTTTTATTTTTTTAAGATTTTATTTATTTATTTGACAGAGGGAGAGAGATCACAAGTAGGCAGAGCAGCAGGCAGAGAGAGGCGGAAGCAGCCTCCCCACCGAGCAGAGAGCCCGACGCGGGGCCCGATCCCTGGACCCTGAGATCATGACGTGGGCTGAAGGCAGAGGCTTTAACCCACTGAGCCACACAGGCGCCCCGGCAAGATCTCATTCTTAAGGCTAATATTCCACTGTGTGTGTGTCCCACGTCTCTATCCATCATCCGTCTGTGGACACTTAGGCTATTTCCAGATCTTGGCTATTACAAATAATGCTGCAGAGTGGGATGCATGTATCTCTTCAAATTGGTGTTTTCTTGGGTGCCTGGGTGATTAGTTGGTTAAGTGTCTGACTCTTGGTTTTGGCTCTGGTCATGATCCCAGGGTTGTGAGATCGAGCCCCGTGTATGGCTCATGCTGAGCAGGGAGTCTGCTTGAAATTCTCTCCCTCCCTCCTCCTCTAACCACCACCCCCTGTGTGGTCTTTCTTTTTCTCCAAAAAAAAAAAAAAAAAAAAAAGTATTTACTTTTCTTTAGATATATTCCACAAGTGGGAATACTAGATCATAGGGTAGCTCTATTTTTAACTTTTTGAGGAACCTCCACACCGTTTTCCACGGTGGCTGCACCAGATTACATGCTCGCCAGCAATGCGGGAGGGTTTGCGTCTGTCCACACCCTCGCCAAGACTTGTTACTTTCAGTCTTTTGGTCCTGCTGTCTGTGACAGGTGCCAGGTGATCTCTCATTGTGGTTTTGATTTGCATTTCCTTGATGACGCATCTTTTTGTGTCCTGTTGGCCACAAGCCTGTCTTCTTTGGGAAAATGTCTATTTAGGTCCTCTGCCCCTTTTAAAATATTAAGTTGTATAAATTCTTTATATATTTTGTCTACAAACCCCTTATCCGACATAGTACTTGCAAATATCTGCTTCCACTAACTAGGCTACCTTCTCGTTTTGCTGATGCTTTTCTCACTGGAGCAGAAGATTTTTTGTTTGATGCAATCCCATTTGGTTTTAACTTTTGCTGCCCTTGCCTGGGGAGACTGCCCCCCCCCCCCGCCTTACTGCCAATACTGCCAAGAGCTCCCTGCCTGTGTTTTCTTCTAAGCAAAGTTTTTTGCCTTTTTTTTTTTTTTTAAAGATTTTATTTATTTATTTATTTGACAGAGAACGCAAGTAGGCAGAGAGGCAGGCAGAGAGAGAGAGAGAGGGAGAAGCAGGCTCTGCACTGAGCAGAGAGCCCGATGCGGGGCTCGATCCCAGGACTCTGGGATCATGACCTGAGCCGAAGGCAGAGGCTTTAACCCACTGAGCCACCCAGGCACCCCAAGTTTTTTGCCTTTTTTTAAAAAAATATTTTATTTATTTATTTGACAGAGAGATCACAAGTAGGCAGAGGCAGGCAGAGAGAGGAGGGGAAGCAGGCTCCCCACTGAGCAGAGAGCCCAATGCGGGGCTTGATCCCATGACCCTGAGATCATGACCTGAGCCGAAGGCAGAGGCTTAACACACTGAGCCACCCAGGCGCCCCAAGTTTTTTGCTTTTAAACAAGCCACTTACACCTGCCCCTCTCTGGTTTATTTATTTATTTACTCGATGGCTTTGTGTGTCTCCTGAAATGAAAATGTCATTCTCATTTCTCAGCCCAATTCTGCTTTTCCCATAGCTCTGTTTTCCCAGGTGGGACATTCTTCTCTTTCTTGGGGTGGTTGCCCCCTGCCCCCCGGGATGTGACCCTCCTTTGTGGGCTGACTGTGAGCTGTAAGTCACGGGCTGCTTCCTTCGGGTTCAGAACAGGAGTGAGAGGGGCTGTACCGAATGCATTCTGGCCTGTTCCTGCAAATGTGCAGACCTGGGGCAGGAGAGGGTTTCCTGCTGGGACAGCAAATACTACAGTTAAGACTTCTGGGTGTAGGTACCCTGTGCTCCTCCCAAGCAGTGGAAGACACCTAGGCTTACAGTCAGGGTCCCTCCTGAGAGGCAGTGAACCTACCCCCACTCAGGTGTGCTTGTTCCCCCCCCCACCACGCTGCTGCTCCTCCCAGGAGAAATGGGGGCAGGGAAGGTTCTTATGTTGGGGGGAATCACAGAGGAGTGGCTATACATACAGTGTATGATAAAGATTTTTGAACAATGCACTTCTTTTTTTTTAAAGATTTTTTTAAAATTTTATTTATTTATTTGACACATAGAGAGAGATCACAAGTAGGCAGAGAGGCAGGCAGAGAGAGAGGGGGAAGCAGGCTCCCTGCTGAGTAGAGAGCCCGACGCAGGGTTACCGCAGAACCCTGGGATCATGACCTGAGCCAAAGGCAGAGGCTTAACCCACTGAGCCCCCCAGGTGCCCACAGTGAACTTCATTTTAAAAATAAACTTTATGATCTGTAGAAATACTGGGAAGATAGCATTAAGAGTTCACATAGCTTCCACACCCAACATCCTTCATTTTAAGATCTTGTAATAGTATGGTGCATTTGTTGTAATTAGTGAATCACTATTGGTACATTATAATTGACTGAAGCTCATACTTTATTCAGATTCTCTAAGTTTTTACCTAATGCCCTTTTTCTGGTCCAGGATCCCTCCCAGGAACCCACCTTACAGACAAACAAACCTTCTCTGTCATTGCTGGGACGGGGGTGTGGCGGGGAGGCAGTCACGTGTGCTGTGATCGAGGCCACCATCTTGAATTCCATTTCTCTGGTTCAGGCCTGCCTCAGGGACTTGGGAATTTTTTGGTCAGGGCACAGGATTGAGAGTCATGTATGTTGAACTCCTGTTCTACCCTCCTGTCTCTCTAGTATGTCCTTTGACTTGTCCCCTCTTTGGCCTTAGTTTCCTTATCTGTAAAATGGAGGCACTGGGCTATTTTCATCTGGACAGGCTGAGTCCTGGGGTCAGTGTATGAATGAAGTTTTCTGATCCCCATCCTGGGGTGGAGGGAGCTGGCAGGCCGGATGGGATTCCAGAGGGCAGAGCTGAGACAGATCTCACTGAGGGCAGACACACTGCCTCTGGGCTTTTCAAGTTGAAGATCGGGGCCTCTCCCTGCTTTGCTGCCTTATTCTTGTGTGGTTAGGCAAGGCCTTCTTGAGCTCTGAGCCTTGGTTTGCTCACCCGTAAAGCACCAGCTGGTGGGAGGGTCCCTTTAGCTGGGAATAGAACAGGTTGCCCTGGGGAGCAGTGAGTTCTGTTTTCGAGGCTGTGCAGGCTGGGCCAGGTGACCTCGTTGGGTGCTTCAAGGGCTGGTGGCAATGCTAGGCTCTGAGGGTCTTTCTGTTGGACTGGGAATCCAGCCTCCTGCCGGCCCATTTCTCTACACCTGAGCTACCACCCGACGGTCACACACAGTTGCTTTACTCTCCCGTTTGGGTGGGACGGCATCTGGCCTGGGGCTAAGGGAGGTCTGCCAAGTGTACCACACCCCGGGCCACGGACTTCAGGAGGCTGGAGGAAAACTCACCCTTATTACCTCCCTGCCCAGAGTGGCTACCAGGCCAGTCTATCTCCCAGCACAGGCCAGGCTCTCCAAGGTCTAGAAAGGTGAACTGTTCCACACCCTCCAAAACTCCGGAGGGGTGAGAGGAATCCCTGAAAAGGTGAAAATGAGGAGCCCTGTGCCCCCACTCCTGGACTCTTATTATTTTAAAAATGTCAGGGTTCTTCTCAGCTTCTGAGCCTTTGGCATCTGCTGTTCCCTCCTCCACCAGTGCCCTTCCCTTGTCTAGCTGCTGACTCCTACTCATCCTTCAAAGCCCAGTGCAAAAGACTCCCGTGCTGGATCCTGGCTACCCCTCCCTGTGTCACGGCACGTCTCACATTGAGTCATAATAGGCCCTTTCCGTGTCCCCGTGTCCCCGTGTCCCTCGATTTTCCTGAAGGTGGGGGTGGGGCTGACTCACCTCCCTCAGGTTGCCACAGACCCATCATCTGCCCACTGCGTTGCGTGGGAGGGCCGGGTAGGGGACAGGTAGGGGAAGGCATCATTGCCGCCGTGGTGACTCTCTCCTGGCACCTCCTGTTTACAGGCACTGTCACAGGCGTTTAATCTCTAGCCTCCTGGCCCTATCCCCACCCCAGGTGGGTGCTAACCCGGCTCGTCCCCCAGGCACGGGCAGCGGGCGCGCCCGTGCGTCTGGGCCGCGGGGAGAACCGGTGCTCCGACGACCGGCCGCGGGCGAGCCAGGCGGGGTGGGGGCAACGAGCGCACCGGGCCGTCCCCGACGACCTGGGGCCCGGGGACTCCCGCGGGCGGCGCGCTAATAGTTCCACGTCCAGCCGACGCGACCGAGGCTGGGGAGCCGCCGCCACCCGCCCCAGATCTGGACCGCGCCCCGGCCCCGCGGGCCACGCCCCCTCGCTCCTCCCGGGGCGCACCTGGCCCCGCCCCGCGAGAGGCCCCGCCCCCGGCCCCGCCCCGAGCCGCACTCGGTCCCCGCAGCGCGCGGCGGGGCAGACAGGTGGAGCGGAGCCGAGTGGTGCGACGCGCTCCGAGCTGCGCTCCCGGCCCCAGCATGGGCAACCGCGCGGGCCGCACCGACTTCGAGTGGGTCTACACCGACCAGCCGCACACGCAGCGCCGCAAAGAGATGCTCGGTGAGCGCGGCCCGGCCCCTGCCGCGGGTGGGGCAGACCCGCGGGGCCGTCGGCAGGCGCGGGCCGGTGCGAGCCCCGCGGTCCCTGTGGCGCCGGCCCCGATCTCCAGCGGGCTCTCCTCGGCCCCTGCTTCACGGAGGGTGGGAGCGCCACGTCCCCCTCCGCCCAGGGGTCTTCGGCCCGGGTCCCCGAGGGTCCCCCCCGCCCGGGTTGGAACCTGCTGTCGCGTCTCGGGCTGCGTCCTGGAGTCCAGGATCCGAGGACCCCAGCCCGGATCCGCGCGCCTGGGGAGCGCGCCTCAGCCGCAGTGTCCCCGTGGTGGGCCTCGAGCCGGTCGTGGGGCGGGGACCGGGCGGGGCAACCGGGCGGGGCAAGGGTCGGTTCCCGGGGACCGTCCGTGTACGGGATGCGCCGTCCTGCCCGCGAAGGTGGAGCCCGCTGAGCTCAACCGGGTCCCGGAGTTAGGGCGCGACCAACGCCTGGAAGGAAGCAAGCGCGCAACGAGAGATACGACTTAAGAAAAAAAAAGATTATGCCCCCAAATGCCTTTTGTCTCTTCAAACCTGTATTTTATAGCTTAGTACGTGGTGGCCGCTCCTCCTGTCATTTAGTGTCCTCCAAAGTCGTTTTTGCCAACGTAGTTGTGGTCAGTCACGCCAGGGGCGGCTTTTAGACTGGGGATGTACAGACTACGCGGAACTGGGCTCTCGACTCCGCGGGTTTTTTTTAAAGTATCATTTGGGAGAGGCAGAGGCAGACAGAGAGAAACAGACTCTCCACTGAGCAGGGAGTCTGATGTGGGGCTTGATCCCAGGACCTCAGGATCATGACCCCCGCTGAAGGCAGACGCCCAGCCATCTGAGCCACCCAGGGATCCCCTCCAGCCTGGTTTTCACTAGATGCCACCAAACCGTCCCCACAGTCCCCAGGGTGTGCAGCAGCCTGGACGGGCTACTCTCCCTCCCAAGAAATGGCGAGGCCGTGGTTTCCACACTCCCTCGCCTACACCTGGGGTTGGCAAACCTTTTCATCAGATTGACTAGGCGACATGTGCTATTTTATTATGTTTAATTTGCAGTTTGGGGATGATTGTTTCCAAAGTTTAATTGGCCACTTTAATTTTTTTCTTTGTTCTCTTGGGTTGGTCTCTCACTTGTTGGTTAGAGCTCTTTGTACAGCAGGATTTAACTTTTCTTACGTGTTGCATGTATTTTCTCCCTTTTGCTCTCACAGAAGCTTCGCTTTTCTTTTTTCTTTTTTTTTTAAACTGCATTCAAATGGATTGGCTCCTTCCCCCTTTAAGATTCTATTTATTTGAGGGAGAGAGAGCACAAGCGGGGCAAGGGGTAGAGGGAGAGAGGGAGAAGCAGGCTCCCCGTTGAGCAGGGAGCATGATTGTGGGGCTCGATCCCAGGACCCCTGGGATCATGACCTGAGCTGAAGGCAGCCCCTTAAGATTGGCTTTTTACTCTATAGAGTTTTCTCTTTGGTATCCCGCCCCAGTCCAAGACTATGATATCCATCCTGTTACTTCTAAGGCTTTCAGACCCCAGATACGCAGCATGGTTAGTGTGGGACTGTGCTCTTCTGTGGCTTACCCTGGTTGGTGTCCCTGGTGGGTGGGTGACTTTCGTGGTTTCCTGCTGGGAGGTGGACAGTAACCCGGCACTACTGCGGTCTGACCTGTGGAGCGTCTTCTCTACACCCGTGCACTCAGGGGGTTCTTGGTGATCACCTGGTCCTGCCCCTCCGTAGAGGGCAGGTGTCTTGGCCACACCCTGCTGCTGAGGCGGGCTCCATTTCCTTCCCCTCCCCTGACTGTCCCCTACCTCCTTAACAGGACTCACTGGGCACCTGGCCCCAGGTGGAGAAGGCTGGGAAACTTACCCTGGCTTGCAGAGCTGCCTGGAGGAGGGGTCCAGACCCTCTGGGCTGCGGACTCAACTTTTCTGAATCTGCAGAGTGGGCACAGTCATCGTGTTGGGCAGAGAGGGTGCAACATTTAAAGGAGATCTGGGATGTTAAGAGGTGCCCAGTGTGCTACTCGGCCCTCCTGGACAAGAGAAAAGGATCTCTGAAGAGAGAAACCATGGGCACCGAAACCAGTGGGGGAAGCTTCCGGCCAGGGCGGCAGGGAGGCCTGGAGGACTTGGAGGAGAGGAGGTGATGCGGGCCAGGGAACGGACAGCACCAGGTCTCCAAGGCTGACCCTCGAGGGCACTTTAGCTCATTCCCATTTCCACTGGCGGCTGGGGATTCCTCCGGTTCTATCTGTTTTTGGACTCGTGAACTTGGCATTAATGAGCCATTTTCCCTCACTCACCAGCATTTGACAGCTCCTGCCCCGCCTAGGTGTCTGTCCTTCGGTCTGTCCTTCCTTCCTCTGCCCGACTGGCTCTGTTTGTTTCTTTTTTTAAAAAGTATTTTATTTATTTATTTGACAGAGCGAGAGATCACAAGCGGGCAGAGAGGCAGGCAGAGAGAGAGGAGGAAGAAGGCTCCCTTCTGAGCAGAGAGCCCGACGTGGGGCTCGATCCCGGGATTCTGGGATCATGACCCGAGCCGAAGGCAGAGGCTTAACCCACTGAGCCACCCAGGCGCCCCATGTTTGTTTGTTTCATTGAAGCGTGGTTGACATACACCATTATGTACGTTTCAGGTGGGTCGCAGCACAAGGTTAGTGCAGTTTTGTGGGCTCTAGTCTCCTTGCTGCACTTGACATTCCCATCTCTCCCTCACGCGTCACTGTTGATTTGGACTTCTGATCCCCTTCGCCCCTCCCTCTGAACCCCTCCGGCCCTCGCAACCACCAGTCTGTCTTGGTTTTGTCTTTTGAGTCTGGGGGTGGTTCGGTTTTGTCTTCAGAGGGCATGTGTGAGTGGAATCACGCGGTATTTTTGTTGGTCTGACATCTTCAGTGAGGGTCCCTCCGTGGTGTTGCGGGCTCCGTTCTTCTCGCGGCTCGGTTTCCGCTTGGGGAGATCCCATCGTCTGCATCCCTTTGTCTGTTCACGGACACTCAGGCTGCGTCCGGGTCTCGGCTCCCGTACACAGTGGGGCAGTGAACGGGGTGGGGGGGGATATATGTTTTCGAATTTGTGTTTTTGTTTTCTGTGGTTGAATGCCTGCCGAGCCCTGGAACTGCTGCACCGTGGTGGGGTAGTTCCTAGTTTAATTTTTTGAGGAAGCTCCAGCCTTTTCCAGAGCGGCTGCCTCCGTTTGCATTCGCACCGACAGCGCACGAGGGTTCCCCTCTCCCCACATCCTGGCCAACACCTGTTCTCACGCTGTGGGTTTTGGCCGTCTGACAGGTGTCAGGTGCGACCGCTGGTCGTTTCCCTCGGCACGGTCCTGGGCGTGAGAGGCGCTGAGCACCTCCCGTGTGTCCGTTGGTCATTTGTGTGTCTCTTCCGTGGAAAATGTCTATTCAAGTTTCTCACCCAGTTCCCCTCGGTTTGCTGTTGAGGTGTAGGAGTTCTTACGTGCTCTGGGTGTCCTCTCCTTCCTGGGGACGTGATTTGTAGGTCTCTTCTCCCGCTCCGGGGCCTGCCTCCTCGGGCTAAGTGTCACGTTCCTGGTGCGGGCGCGTTTGCTCTGCGACAGTCTCCCTTTGTTTTGTTTCCGCGTAAGCCGCCTTTACTTCCGGTGCGGAAGCCAAAGAGGTCACCGCCAAGACTGAAGGCAGGGGGCCTGCTGCCCAGAGTTTTCGGGTTTCCCGTCGTGCATGCAAGTCTCCGATCCGTTTTGAGTTGATCTCGCGCGCGCTGTGAGAAGGCGGGCCGGTGTGTCCGGGGTGCGCGAGCCCTGCGGCCCCGCGGCCCCCGCCCAGGACGCGGCCTGCCCGTTCGTTGCACGTTCCTGGCGCCCCCGTTGGCACATCTCTTGACCTAATGCGTGTTGGTGTTGGGCTCTGTGTTCTGTTCCATTGATAAGTGTGTGTAGTTTTACGCTGACTTAACTGTGTCCATCCCCTCAGCTTCGTAGTACAGTCAGCTTCGGGAGCGCGATACCCCGGACGACCGAGGTTGCTTTGGCTGGTGGAGACCTTCTGCCGTTCCACAGCCGATTTGGAATGATTTGTTCTAGTTCTGTGGAAAATGCCGCGGAAATTTCGTTAGGGCTCACTCTCCCATTTCCTGCAGGAAGACCCCCGCCTTGGTTGTCCTCCTGACCTTGGGCCTCTGCCGGGTGAAGGCACTCCTCTGGGGTTCCCCCCCATGGCTCCCCAGTTCCTCAGGGTTCTTAATCTCTGTGCGGCAGTAGATTTCGGGGGTCTAGAGCATGGCCGTGAGCTCATGTCCTGGCTGGCTCCTCAACACTCCTCTCTCCTGAGCCTTGTGACCCTGGGCAGGTCCTGGTCATCAGATGAGCAAACAGGCTTGGTTGAGTTAAAAGGGCCATTATTCCTTACAGAGCTGTGCACATTAAATGAGGTAGTGTTAAGTACTTAGCCTTGCACGCAATGAATGTGACAGTGTTAGCCCCGATGATAATTACCACCACTGCAGACAGGCCTGAGCCCTCCCCGAGGAAGGGGAGTACCTTCCACCTTTCATCTCCGGCTGCTTGCGCTGTGCCCAGCCCGGGAGAAATTCTGCGAGTAGTCGAGTAGCCCCTAGTACCTCTTTAGGGAAGGGACAGTGGAGTGGGGTGGGGATCAGAGAGGGGAAGGGGCTTGCTTGGGGCCACCTGGATCGGAGGCCGCCGAGGCCAGGCGAACTTGCTTTAGGGCTCCAGCCCACCCCCTGGGGGCCAGTGGAGTGTCCATAAAGATCCTACTGTGGGAGGGAGTCAGAACCCAGGGGCATCCGCTGCGGGGGGGCCGGGGGAGGAACCCACAGAACCAAAGTCCATCTCCCAACTCCTGCCTTCATGGGGACAGGCTCCCCAGGGCACAGTGCCCTCAGTAAATGGAGGCCCTCGCAGCCCCTAAGAGCCACGCTTCTCAGGCCACTGGCTGAGCCTCCCTGTACTTTGAAGGCAGGAACGGAGCCAGCAGG